CTTCTCCATGGGAAGGCCCATATGATATAGGGGATTGTCTCTCAGATAAAATGTGGTGGGCGAGGTAAGCCAAAAGAGGCGCATGCCAACAGGCTTTGGCATTATGACAGTCCAGGACATTTCAGTTGGGATGAAGTGAACAAAAGAACAAATGACGCTGCTGAAGAAGTGTCACCTGAAAAAGCCACTGTCGAAGAAGAAACTCTACTCAGTTTTGAGAAGGGAAACGGTGAAGCTCTTGATGAAGTTACTACCACTGATGTGACTGTTACCGACAATAGGACATTTCCTGATGAAGCAGATGAACCCCACGTGAAGTAGAAGCCAACGAGACAGAGACCAGTACGGAAGAAGATACGTCCCGTAAAATTAAGAGACTTTGTTGAATTGTAATTTTGTGTTTGTAATTCTCTACATTTAATTAAGTTATTGTTAATTGTTTATTGGTTTAATGTAAGTGGCTATTGTTTGGGACGAACAATACTAAGGAGGGGGCAGTGGTACGACATCGGGGTCACGTGACGCTAGTAACACGTCATTGACTTCTAGAAATATCCTGTTCCTTCGTGAATGCCCTAGCGTTTACTAGATATGTGTTAGTCTTGTACATATAAGACGGTCACAACGTGACGGAACAGCGTGTAATTGAACTAAGTATTGTTGAGTCGAGCACGTGAGACGTACGTTGAGAATTATAGCGTTTGTTATAGCGCGACTGTTGGAATTAAGTGTATCGCAAAGTTATATTCAGAAAGAACAAACCAGTCTTATTTAAGAAAGGACTTGTGTCGCTAAAGTTTCGTCGGAACGAATTTACGGAAAATTAACTAACGAACGGAGACGTAACAATATAAACAACTTATCAATGACTTAACAGGTTTTTATTGAAATTCACCATCTTTTAAGGCCTCTGTAAAATAAAAAATTCTTAGTTTTTAGGCTTTTACACACCCTGGGCAGGGTGTTCATTTTCACCACTGCGACAACCGATTATCTATGATTATTAACCAATGAGCATAAATTATCATCAATGTTTCTTAAATTACCCGCTATACCATTTTAATTATGAAACAAGAACATGAACGTGTTTCTTAATATTACTTTCCTAAACACTACCATTTTGTCTGTTTATTTAATAATTTTAATGTTTATGATATTGGTAAACACCTACCAATGCTTACCATAGTTTCGTTTCGAATTCTAATATTGTAAATACTGATCTTCGGTCTAATGTCGTAAAAATGCTTTCGGTTCTAACTGTAAAAAATATGATTTCCTTCGTTATTGAAAAACTTGGTGTCCCAAATAATTATTTAATTTCTTATATACGTCATTAAAAGTTCTACAGTCGGGCCTTGTCAAACAGGTTAGTTCAGGTAACAGAAAATAAAGATATATATCTTTCCATGGCCTACTTTCATTAAATTTCTTAACGCTATATAAAAAACAAAACAACAACGGTACGGATTTAAGTGTATGTCTTTATCTTTTGTGTAGTTCATGTGAATCATTACATTGAAAAGATTATTAATAAGGTTCTTTCATTTATATATTTAACCGAGAAATTATATATCAACTTGTTTTTATATCGTTGACTACCAGTAGGATATTATATGAATTTGCTTGTTACAACACTCAATAAAAATTTCAATGAAACCTATAGGTTAAAATTTTTATTGCTTATTTCAAGTTTATTTTTACATTAACCAGTAAACATTACATTTAAGCTTTCTCGATATCTATATATGTATGGTCGGATTTAAGAACGGTTCTTATGTCCCCAGTTCACAAATCGTGTATTTTACCCATCCCTAGGGTCTATACTACCCTGTAGGATCTCATATAGTTTATATTTCATCAGTCCCTTATCCATATCTTTCCGCAAGCTGTTCTCAAGATCATCCAAAAGATCGTTTTTGAAAGACTGAAAAATAGGGCGTCCCAATAGACTAAGAAGCCTGTTAACAAAGTCACTCACACTCTTACTTCCTAGAAGATTCTGGAAATTAATTGAAACATAGGAAAAATCCAGGCCCAAGTCCAGTTTCGATACTTTCAGATAACCTTCAGGTGTCACCTTAAATTCAGCTTTCCCTGAAATTTTCACGTTGTGTGCCATAACACGTACGTCACCATTTCCAGTAAGTGGGAAAATTTTAATAACAATTCCTTCTAGATTGTATTTACCCTTAGCATCAAGAAGGGGGATGGATAGACCAATGGTCAATTTTAAATCATCAAGGTTAACTTCAAACGCGTCCAACTCATAACTGGATAAACCGAAGATGACAATGTTACTGAACTGGGCGGTAATATTAAAGCGTTCCTCTCTTTTCTTAACGAGTTGATCACGAATCAGCAGCGGATCCAGAATTGGGATTCTAGGTTTGGTGCTACCGACCTTCATCACATTTCGAAAGTTATCCATGACCAGCCTTAAGTAGTTTTTTAAGCCTTGCTCGCCCAATCCTACCACTGTTCGTGAAAAAAAAAGAGAGAAAAAAACACACTAAATTAATGAAAATATGATTCGTAAAAAAAGTGAACAAACATTTGATTATGAGCTTCTTTATAAAAAAAAAACTATTTGAGCTGATTGGTACTACATTCAATATGAAACTTAGTGAAGTTTATTTAACACTTCTAGTAAATTGATTCGTTCACCACAAAATCTTTGTAATGGATGAAAACCGGTTTGAAAAGCCGTCAAATGTATATACCTTGATTTAAACTTAATTTGTAATGTACATCAATACTATTTTTTTTATTTGTTTAATGTAAAATCTTTTTATTACATGTTGGAATTTTGTTATGCAAGGAACAAATAATTTTTATAAAACGAAAATAATTATGGAAAAACGTCAATTTTTGAAACAAATACATACTTTTGTAAAATATACAGACGAGTTAGATTTTCACTGCATCAAAGTTGCTCTAACACATTATACTTTGCTATATACACGAAACAATTGGAAATAATGTAAATTTACAATTGCTCTAAGAAAGCAAAATCATTGTTATGGAAAGGTCAATTTTCCTTGTCGGTTATTTTTTATATAAAGTATACATCTGATCTATCGTGAGATATGAAATTCAAACAACACTGGTGGAGAAAACTCAAGTGATTCGGGGTAATTTGATAGTGCTGATTTCAATAATGTAGTCAGAATATGTCCTTCGCATCTAGATTTTGAGTTATTGTGATATCTCAATATTTTATCATCACTATATAAAATACCATGCAATCAACTCAGCACAGTAGATTTATGCTGTGAAATTAAGTTTACTTTCACAGTTTAATGAGTAAAAGGCATACATTTTTCATAACTTCAAACACCGAACTGGTGTAAGATTTCAAATATATTTTTCCTGTATGCTATTTGTCATCGATATAAATGTAGCGGATTACACCACTTTTGCTTCATTCACACGCTCACCTGCTCCGCCCGGGAATCACGAAACCCTCACGTGCTCAGTTTGCTAGAGTTGATTGATTGATTGATTGTTTTGAACTTCGCGCAAAGCTACACGAGGGCTATCTGCGCTAGCCGTCCCTAATTTAGCAGTGTAAGATTAGAGGGAAGGCAGCTAGTCATCACCACCCACCGCCAACTCTTGGGCTAATCTTTTACCAACGAATAGTGGGATTGACGGTCACATTATAACGCCCCCACGGCTGAAAGGGCGAACATGTTTGGTGTGACGGGGATTCGAACCCGCGACCCTCAGATTGCGAGTCGAGCACCCTAACCACCTGGACATGCCAGGCCCCTTTGCTAGAGCATTCGAGAAGTTTCTCGACTGGACATAAAAGGGTCGGAGTCAGACGCCTTTCTCTCAATTGCCCCTCACTCACTCAGTTGGTCACTTCACTTCGTTCAGCGCACAGTCAAAACAATATCGATCTTTTTCCTTGCATCATACCCGCGATATAATCAAGTTCTGCAAAACATTGATTTCTAAATTCTTTTAAACTCTACTTCTGTAAACATAAATTATTATATTTTTTGAGAAGATTATTTGAAATGCTGGCTGTCTCCAGTTCAAGTGAAGTCCGAAAATACAAAAATCGCTACAATAGTTTCTGCTACATTTGTGGGAAATATATTACAGTTTCACGTAGTAAAAAAACCACACAAGGTAAAGGTAGCTTACTGCCATTATTTTGGGTGTAAAATTGGAGACCAAAACAACATTGGGCTTCACATGTATGTTGTACATCTGGCTTGACACAGTGGATGAATAAGAAGAGAACAAGTATGCCATTTGCAGTTCTCATGATATGGCGTGAGTCCAAAGGTAATCTAACTGACTATTATTGTTGCAGAATTAATGTTTCTGGTGATTGGGACAAATTAAACAATACATTATATATCCAGATGTTGCATCTGCAATGAAACCAGTACCTCATGGGAATGGTTTTTCCAGTGCCACATCTACCAGCGAACTAGGAACAGAAGAGTTATCCTGCGAAAAAGACAATGAACCATCTTCATCCTCTTCATTTAGTAATTCTATTTCTGTGGCACCTCAACATAATCTGCCTCATTTGATCACACAAGAAGAACTGAGAAACAGTTGCATTTTTCCTAGTAGCAGAGAAATTCCCTTTTTTTTTGTTGTTGTTGTAAACATTTAGGTAGAGGCGGCTTTATATCTTTACAATTCATGACGTTTCACATCAATATGGAGTACGGTCACCACGAGTAACAAAGTATTCTCAACTAATCTTTTGAAACAGCTATCTTTAGGACAACTGCAGTGTGTAACGTCACTTGAAGCGTTGCATCTTCCAAAACTTCCCTATGCACACTCGATGGGACTGCAATCTGGAGAGTATGCAGTTCACTCCATCCAACTCGATACCTTTTGCGTTAAAGAATGTGATGACCAGTTTAGCATGGTGAGAGTGGGCATTGTTCTTCAGTAGGCTGAAGTGAGAGCCAGTTGCATTAACAAATAGTGACACAACACACACATACAAATATGTAGTATAATCATATCAAGACACACATACACCATATGCTTAGAAATAAAGAGCATTACACTCACAAAAATGACCGAGTCCGTGTGCATAATTGTTGGGGAGCAGGGTCCCTGCTTGCCCCTTTGAGAACGCCCCTGGATATAAAAGCATAGCGTACCACATATAGATGAAAGTAGAATACTTACTACACAAATGTAAAGAAGAACACTAATCACATGCAAGTGAAAGTAGGGCACTTACCATATACACGTAAAACAGAACACTTGCCATATACACTTGAAACAGAACACTTGCCATATACACGTAAAACAGAACACTTACCATATACACGTAAAACAGAACACTTGCCATATACACTTAAAACAGAACACTTACCATATACAAGTAAAACAGAACACTTGCCATATACACTTAAAACAGAACACTTACCATATACACGTAAAACAGAACACTTGCCATATACACTTAAAACAGAACACTTACCATATACAAGTAAAACAGAACACTTGCCATTTACACGTAAAGCAGAACACCAAAAATACCTAAAGTACATATACGTAAGTAATTCACGACATAAATGCATACAGTCGTAGAATTCTTACCTCGTATACGTCGAAGCAAAATACCATAAATAAATAATAATAAAAAAAACGCTTACACAACAATGCTTACTACAGTCGCGTGTCAAAACCAAACACTTACAATAACAACGCTTACCGCAAATGTATACCAGTAGAACACTAGCCACATTTATAGGCTCGTAAAATATTTACAAGCAAATGATGATGTGACACTACTGCGCCTACCAGGTACACATTACAATAATCACAAACATCTCACAGTAGAGTATTTACTGTAAGATAAAGATCGTGTATCGCACACCTTTAACAGTAATGCAATTAGCACCTTTGATCGAACACTTACTTTACGGGTATTAAAAAAATAATGTGCTTTTATATAATAGCAAAATATCTCTATACGTATAACAACTAACACACACAATACTAACAACAGAATATATATTTACCAAGTGTGCGGCAGTAGAATACTGATCATAGATGTGCAATAGATACATGTGACAACAACCAACACACACAATACTAACAACAGAATATATATTTACCAAGTGTGCGGCAGTAGAATACTGATCATAGATGTGCAATAGATACATGTGACGGTAAGATAGTTACCACTTACAAAAAACGAAGCAAAAAATTGATGACTTACCACACAGGCACGTGCCAAAAGTTTGCTTGTTTGTTTGTTTTTAGAGCAAAGCCACGGTGGACTATTTGATGTATCCACTGCGGAGAATCAAACTCCTGATTTTTGCGTTGTAACTTAACGCTGTACCACCGGGGATGTGACAGAAGAAAATATTTGTTACTGTTTCATCTTACGTAGCATATTGCACACTGAAATATTGAACTGACTACAGACACTAATCAGAGTGGTTAGAAAGTAAATACTTGGAACATTTCGTGGAAAGAACCGTGCAACGAAAAGACAAAAATATTTCAAGTAGATACATAAGATGTTATGAGAAGTGCATTCAACCATCTTGTGGAAACGTGTATAAGCAACGCCACTACAGGAGCTGTTCAATGTTGCCACATTATTTTCCATTGCTGTGGCCAGCCTGATAATAGATATTACATCTCGTAGCATCTCCTCAGAAAAATCGCCCGAACCTCCGTAACAATGGAGTTTGAAGAGTGTTTGAGTTTAGGTATCCATAAAACTCCATGACCGGTAGTCATCAGTTCTAGGAAACTTTGATGTCACACTTGATGGGTGCGGTGTTTGTGAACCTGTAGTTCTTGTCAGAATTCTGTATGAGCATTATCTTCACACGAAGGTGGATATGTAGTGGAACATCATTCTGAAGAAAAAATGTGATATCTTGGACACATTCATCTTGTTAGTGCTATGCCATGGTATTACTGTGGGAAAACTCACGGATAACCACATTTCTTGTTTCTGGGAGCATTCTAATAAAGTTGCTGATTAGCAACAGATTGAAGGCCCAAATGGTGTTTTGATCCTGAGGCCTAGGTGTTTCTTCAGCATTACAGCCATTTTGATAATATAGCTCCATCTACATGATTTGTTGTATTGTGTCCTTCACTATTAGTGGCAGAGTAATGGTTATCATAAACGTCGTTCTTCGGAACGTGTTCAAGTCAGAGACAAGTTGTCCCACTTCAGCCGAATCCTTGGCTATTTTCTTTTCCTACCCTTTCAATCTTTATTCCCAATCTGCCGCACCAGATCACAGTTTCCACCAGCCGTGAGACCAAACAGCTGCTCGCCCACTCCCGGAAAGACCAATATCGTTGAATCAGAAGAAATTGAGACCATAACAATGTACGTTTATTACAATAACAGCCCCCCAGTGGCACAGCGGTATGTCTGCGGATTTACAACGCTAGAAACCGGGTTTCGATGCCCGTGGTGGGCAGAGCACAGATAGCTCATTGTGTAGCTT